CCTGCACCTTGTTGTCTCTATTTAGACAGCTTGGTTTGTTTTCCTTTTCTGTACTTTGCAAAAATTCCTGTTTTCCCGTTAAAAGAAACTCAGTAATCTCAAATTCATTGACTTTGGCACCATCTTCAACAGCATAATTCCAATCAAAATCATCTCCAAACTCTGAGACCTAAGACTCTGCTCCCTCCCTCTGCAACTGGATCCTTGACTGGCAGACCACAATCAGTAAGGAAAGGCAATAACACGTCCTCCACAATAATCCTCAACAGCCCCACAAGACTGCCTACTCAGCCCCTTACTATACTCCATATACACTCACGATTGTGCTGTTAAATTCAGCTGTAATACCATATTCAAATTTGCTGATGTCACCACTGTAGTGGGTCGGATTTCAAACAACAACAAGACAGAATATGGGAAAGATATAGAGAGCTTCGTGGCATGGTGTAAAGACAACAACTTCTCCCACAATGTCAGCAGGTTATCGACTTCAGGAAGCAGAGTGGAGGACACACCCTGTCTGTATTAATGGTGCTGAGATGGAGTCGGTTAAGAGCTTCAAGTTCCGATGAGTAAATATCATTAATGATTTATTCTGGTCCATCCATGTTGACGCTACAGTCAAGGAAGCACACCGACACTTCTACTCCCTCAGAAGGTTAAGAAAATTTGGCATGTCCACAGTGGCTCTTACCAATTTATTAGATGTACCATAGAAAGCATCTATCCAGATGCATCACAGCTTGGTTTGGCAATTGCTCTGCCTAAGGCCGCAAGAAATTACAAAAAGTTGTGAATGCAGCCTAGTCCATCACAAAAACCAGACTTCCTTCCATTGCCTCTGCTTACACTTCCTGCTGCCTCGGGTAAGCAACCAACATGATCAAAGACGCCTCCCATCCCGCTTATACTCTCTTCCAATCATTCTTCATCAGGCAGAAGGTACAAAAGTTTGAAAATATGTACTAACAGATTCAAGAACAGCATTTTCCCCACTGTTACCAACTCATGAACTGACCTCTCAAATATTAGACTTGATCTTTCTCTGCACCTTCTCTGTAGCTGTAACGCTGTATTCTGCATTCTGTTCTGTTACCCTGATGCATTTATGTAAGGTATGCTTTGTTTAGTTAGCACACAAAACAATACTTTCACTGTATCTCGGTACATGTGACAATAATAACTCAAATCAAAAATCAAATCAGCTTTGCATCATTCCACCAGCACAGATGCCCTTACATAGGTGATACGCAGTTGTGAGTATGTTTTCGGTCACAAACTGGTGAGCACATCATAGATGCTCTGGAATAAATGATGGAGGCTGTGATACCTGAAGCCACTGACTGTTTAAGAAGCAGTGGAAGCTGGGTCAGAAGGCTCTTGTGGTATGTAATGGGAGTGCCCCTACCTCTCAACCAGGAGACACTGGTTCACGTTAGATAACAAGGTGTAGAGCTGGATGAACACAGCAGGCCAAGCAGCATCAGAGGGGCAGGAAAGCTGACGTTTCGGGCCTAGACCCTTCTGAAGAAGGGTCCCCCCCCACCCCCCAGCATGCCAGAGTCTTCCAGACCTTGGACAAAAAGAGGACAGTCATCAAAGTCATTCAAAGCCATAGAACAGCATGGCCAGCAATGTGCTTCCACTCCACGTTGCAAAAGCAAAAATTACATCTTGTGAAAACATTCTTAAGTGTAATAATAAAAGCACTTAGATGCAGCAGAGGCTCACATGTTAAGAATTTGTACATGTTAAGAACTTGTACATGTTAAATATAGACAGTTTATTTGGAATAAATTGCTGTAATGATTTGTGATGTAGATCATTAATGGAGTGAATAGTGTGTTGTCAGATGGAAAGTATACCCTCGTAGCCTCAGTTGCATGCGTGTGGCAAAGTGGAGTTTCCTATTGTGCTCAGTGATACTCGGTGATTGTGAGTAATAAGTAGAACAAGATATCATGCTAACATTGAGTGCATTTATGATCAGACAGTCATGCCCAGGTTGTGGTAAGCACATGCTTATCACTTGAGCCTTTCTTGTACATTTCTCATGTGTTCTTTCTTCTGATGGAGCGGGCTCATTATACTGTCCTATGTAATCCGCTCGTTACTATGTGATTTTGCGTCATTACATGAACTGTATATAATTGGAGGACTCATTGGCAATGGCTTCCTTTCGTCTTTGTTGCAAAGATTCTAAACACACTAAAGCCAACCTCAACGGGCCGACTTCCCCATGCAAACTTCAAGCCTTACCTGGTATAAATGGTTGTGAATATAACGATGCATGATCTCCGTGCAAAATTCTTTGTATCCAGAATGCTATAATAAATAGCTTCTGGTCACATTTAAATGAGAGTTAACTAACCTCATAAGACTCACAATGTCATCCCTCCTCTGGTAGAATGTTACATCATCAGGATTTCACTCCAATGTGTCCTGCTCTGACTCTACATAATACCCATCCCCAAACTTGTTGCATCCCGCTCAGACGGGACATACTAAATTCCACTCTTTGTCTCTAAAGATATCAATGAAAGAGACATTCAGAGACACAAAGTAAAACCTTGTTGTCTTCTCATACAGAGACGCTGAGTGACTGTCATCTGAAGTATGAATATGCAAGGATTGTCGAAGTTTTATTCCAGTCATTTCTTTGACTAACCATAACAAGATAAATACTAACTGGTAGTTATTTTTTTTTTTAAAACAATGTATGGAATGGCTGGAAATAAAAGTATTTCTTTTCAAAATCAGTATGCTGTTCATCCTGTGTTGCCTATGCATTCTGAGTATCTGATTTTCATTCATTTCAGGTGCATCTCTTACATGGATGCCTTAGCAGGACAGTGTTGCAAGTTTAATAAAACCGCACGTTGATAATCCTTTCTGTCATGGTGTGAAGTCCATTTATTTCAGTAAGCCAGCGCTCAGGGGTGTAACTACAAAGCTATTTTCCTGACATGCACAGCTGCTGCAGCACCTATTGACGGTTTTGGTATTAAACAACCTTTATACAAACAGTTGGTTTGAAAAAGTCTTGCCTTACTAGTGTACAATTCAGTTTGCCAGGTAAGACTTCAGTACAGACAAGAAACTTTTAGGTATCATTAATGGCTCATGCAATAATTTTCATAGAAATTGAGCTGTAAAAGGTCCTCTCCATGAGTGACACAGTGGCTCAGTGGTTAGCACTGCTGCCTCAAAGTGCCAGGTTCAAAGCCAACTTTGGGTGACTGTCTGTGTGGAGTTTGCACGTTCTCCATATGGCTGCGTGGGTTTCCACTGAGCGTTCCAATTCGTGTTCCACGGTCCAACGATGCACAAGTTAGGTGGATTGGCCAGGGTAAATTGCCATGTAGTGTCTAGGATGTGCAGGCTTTGTAGACTAACCATGGTAAATGCTGGATTACAGGTTTTGGGTGGGGATTGGATCCGAGTGGGATGCTCTTCGAAGGGTTGGTGCGAACTCAATGCCTTTTCAGGAGAGCTCTAAAGACTCATGAAAAAAGTTACCTCATTTCTCTTTTAAATGGATGACCTTTGATTTTGTAAAAAACAAATTGCTCCTTTTTAAACAAAGAAAACAACTCTTCTGTCTTCATTCTTTGTCATTTTGAACATCTCTTTTAAATTGTTCACGGCTCTTAATTCAAGGGAATACCAACAGAGTCTATACATTTTTCCTCATAATTTAACAATTTAAGTGAAATCTGTGCAGTATTCCTTCCAAGGTCACAATATATTTCCTGAACTATAGCACAGAAATCTAAATAAAATAGTCCAGATCGGCTCTGGGCAAATTTCTATCCACCTGAATCACCTTACTCAGTTTTT